CCAGTGCAAGCAGTTTGCTATGGGGCACCCAAGCAGGCTCACTCCCGAACCACTGCTCTGCATGTCCATTCACACACAGGGTCACAGCTTGGCCCTGCCTCCTCTCTCTCCTCATTGGTTCACTGGCTGTGATTGACAGCCAATGAGAAGGGAGAGTCCTGGGAGAGTTCTACAGCAGAATGTATCTGTTTACATGGATGAGACCATTCAATACTGGCAGGGGTGATTAAAATGATCAGCTTTTATATATTCATGTAAAACCTTTATCTCAAAAGGAAAAATAAAACTGTTTGCTGTAACTGACTATAAAGTGTGATCTGGAGTTTGGCTTCAATCTGTTATTGTATTCAAATATGCTAATACATTTAACACTTCCATCCCCTCCAGATTGTCAGTGCTGCTGTCTGCTGTGTCCTGGCTAATTCCTCCAAAGTGATGTCTCATTGCTACACGAGGTTTGTTACTGGCCAGATCACCAGGTGAAAACATAGGGAAAAAAGTCAAAGAAAAAAATAAATGCAGCAATGAATACATTTTTGGTTTGGGGTTTAATACCACTTTAAATCAAAATGATTGCTTTTATATGTTTATTGATAAAAATAGAAAAGTAAATTGAAAAACACTGTACACTCTATTTATGCTTGATTCCTGTAAACGTAACCTGCTGCATCTGCTCGCCAATTGCTGCCGATCTCTCACAATACATACAATAAAAAAATGATTTTAAAGCAGATAATATATGCTGATAACATTATATCCATTCCTAGCTATTCAAAGCAAGCTCCGTCGTATTTTTGCATCTTTCAGTGCAGGCAATATAATCCCTGGAATTCATAAAGGCTAGTACAGACAGATTTTGCAAAAGTGTCTCTTATATGTTTTAGGAGTGGCACAGCATACGCCAGATTTATGTTCCTATCTAAAACTTGTCCTTGAATTTGGTGTATACTGCGCCACTTTTAGAATGCACATGAGTCTCTGTACACCAAAAGAAAGTTGGTCTTAATTTGCTCCACTTTTGTAAGATACAAACTGTCATTATTTATTTTGAATTCATCATAGGTGTTGCACCACAATATAGAAGTGGAGAAAATAAGAACTACCTGAATTTGGCGCTGTCAAAACCAAGATTTTTTTTTTATTAGACACAACACATTAACAAGAGCAATTACAGAGGTTCTAAAATTTACTTTTCTTAAGCTCCCAGTGTTCCCTGATGTTGGCATTAACTGTCAGAGAAAGGAGACAACATCCAGAAATCATACTAGGTGCTTTTTATTGAGGCAAGTACACATTATAGAAGGATATGCTTTGTTCAATTTTCATTGCAGAGGTTTGCAATCACTTTAATGCATTTCTACATACCAGCAGGGGCGGACTGACCATTCGGGAACTCGGGCGCTGCCAGAGTTTCATAAGCTTTTTTGGGTGTGGTTTGAGTGTAGGCGAGGACATGGGGACCCATGATCCCCGATTGCCCAGGGGCCCCCATGAGTTGTCAGTCCGCCCCTGCATACCAGTCAATTGAAAGGGGCCCTTAAAAACACAACTCAGCATGTCTAAAGGAACAGCAATGCACATTAGCACCATTTGGAAGAGGAGTACTACAGGTAGGGTTGGCACAAACACCATTCAGAAAACTACTTTTATTCTTTTCAATGAACACAAGGTGTTCTCTGATTGGCTGCAGTGGAGAGCATCATGTCACTACTCCAACTTGCCACCTTGTCCAGAATGCTTTGCATTCATGGAGAAAAATGCATGGCATTCCCTAAATGGGGCTATGCTGAGTAAGAGCACCACTGTGTTTGCGATGCAGCAGGGCAGCCAATCATAATCCGGAAGACGGCTAGGATCATTGTAGTAGCCAGTGGCTGCTACAGTGATTCTCCACTTCCACAGGTATCAGCCAGGTATGGAATATATATACTTATATTGGTCCACAATGAACCAATCTATATATTCAAACATATCAGTACCTGGAAAGCAGCTTTAAACCAAGGATGCACTATTAAAAACTAATCCTTGTAATGTCACAGTATAATCTCCAACCTTACAGCAGAAAAAGCCCCACTTACCACCGTCTAACCCGTATTGTTGGGGTCGGATTTCACATTTAGCTTAAATTTGGGGTGGTACCCATAGCCATTATTCCATATAAGCTAGTCTAAAACCAACTTCATTCCATCACCTGGCCCTATAATTAAGATACAGAACACAAGCCAATTTAAACACTTTTCCCAGATGCCTACGTGCATACAATAGGAAGATGGATTTTTTCTTGCTGAAAGGTAAGAGATTATTTTAAGATATTCAAAAGGGATGGTGTTCCACCCTGGATTTTAATCATCCTTTAATGGTAACATGTACTGAATCTGCCTTTACTGATCATTAACTCTAAACACTCTAGTTTTCCTGGCTGTTATGTTGGCCATCTGGCTTTAATGTATTCCTAGTTCTTGACCTGGATCAACCATGCACCAAGTGAAGGAAGACTACCATCAAAACTCCCAACCTTTAAAATTGTTCCTCTGCATTATTTTAGAAATTATTGATGGCCAGTATGACACCCAGGTATCTAGCATTTTGTGGTCAGTGAAGTCAGGTCAGATCAGGTTTTCTTCAGCACTGGTTTTCTTTACAGTTCCTGGAGAAGATTCAAGAAGCTTCCACTATCGAGGAGGCCTATAGTCAGTTTTGGAATTTTCACCATTAGACCAAGAAATAATAATATATAAATAACAGCTAGAGAGTCTCTGGCATTAAACTATATTACATACAGTGTTGAATGCACTCAGCAATTTCTGCCTTCTCTCCATTGAAGTCATCTTCTATTCCTTTAAAATGTTGCCTTTCCCAGAACTGTCAAGAATGGCAGACAAATGTATGCATCATTTGTATAGCTGCGGCTGGAGAAAAACATATTTCTTTGTTATGCACATCAACAGAAGCAGCGAGCACTCGCAAAGCAACTATTTTCTGGTGCTCTTTATGCAGTATATATACCCATTGATATTACCCAGTGACAGGCAACTACGAACCTTCAAGATCTCAACTAAAAGAGAATGGCCTCTCTTCCATTGGCTGCTGGGTCAGTTGGGAGATGTAGTACTACATCTTTATTCTTTTCATTTTTTTTCCCTTTCTCTGTTCTTCTTTAAGAGTACTTATTCCCCTTCCTTCTTGAGATGAGATTCCTGCCAAGCCGGCTTGTCGAAAAATCAAAATGAAATCTTCTGCATTTTTCTTTTCCGGAACAGATTGGATGTCATTATGCTCAACTAAGCTAAGGGATGGGCTGGAAGGGAGGAAACATTTCACAGTAAGACTCTCAGAGGCCATCGGAAGAAAACAGCCTGCAGATACAAGTCATGCCTAGCTCAAATTAAGTTTGTTTTACTGCAAATGCATGTATGAACCAGCTGCAGTGAGGATGAAATGGGCAGACAAAAACAGACATATACACTCTGTCTAGCTATGGGGCTCTCAATGTAGGATGCAAATATAAGTTAACTAATTCAGGCAAAAATATTTTGCAGAGATGTAGTCACCATATAAGCAAAAGAAGACATGTGCCTGCAGCAGCTTTTTCCCATGTGGGCTTAAGATGGAAAATATTGTATTGTGATTGTTTATTGTTATCTTTTTATTAGTATTCTGACACCGTAAATGACCATAGCTTTTCATTTATTACATAAAAATATGCATATTAAAGCGAAACATTAGCTAAGCATAACAAGATAAAAAAAAAGGCTTTTGCTTCAATATTCACCCCCAATCCAGAGATTTCCCAAGCAGTAGTTTTTTTCTGCCACCAGTCGTCCTCGGTCTAATAGCCAGCATCATTCAAAACACTTCCTCTGACTCCAGGTCATCCTGAACCTGCCTTGTCTGTGACTGGACAGTGAATGTAAAGCAGCAGTGATGAGCTAATCCAGGCCTCAAAATATCAAGTCCTGACCAGTTGCCCTCCCAACACCTAACCTGCCCAGCCCCTAATTCCGCCTGTAAACATTCCTTCATAAATTATGGCATGAAATGGCAGTTTTAAGTGTTTTATGCAGAATGAAGGAAGGAAAGGAAGGAAAAAAGGAAATGGAAGAAATAGAGGGGTGGAAGGAAGGAAGGGAGAAAGGGAGGGAGGGGTGAAAGGGAGGGAGGGGGTGTAAGGAACGAAGGCAGGGAGGGAGGGGTGGAAGGAAGAGAGGGATGGAAAGAAGGGAAATAGGAAGGAAGGAAGGAAGGAAGGAGGGAGTGGAAGGAATGGAGGGAGGAAAGGAAGAAACGCTGATTTTGGCTGACATTCATAGGGTACTTTCACTGCTTGCATTCAAAAATACATTTAATGATGTATTAATGATTACAGATCTGCATTTATTTGTGTCTTTTAACCACTACGCTACAGGGCACTTATACCCCCTTCCTGCCCAGGCAATTTCCAGCGCTGTCACACTTTGAATGACAATTGCACGGTCATGCAACACTGTACCCATATGAAATTTTTATCAATTTTTTGAGACTGATAGAGCTTTCTTTTGGTGGTATTTAATCACCTCTGGGATTTTTATTTTTTCTTAAACAAACCAAAAACCACTGAAAATTTTGAGAAAAAAACATTTTTTTCTTAGTTTTTGTTATACAATTTTGTAAATAAGTGATTTTTCTCCTTCACTGATGTGCACTAATGAGGCTGCAGTGATGGGACTGATAGGCTGCACTGATGGACACTGATAGGTGGCACTGATGGGCACTGATGAGGAGGCAATGGTAGGTTGCACTGATGGGCATTGACAAGCATCACTGATGGGCACTGAAAGGCAGCACTGATACACGACACTGATACATGACACTGATATATGGTACTGATAGGCAGCACCGACTGGCACTGATAGGCAGCACTGACTGGCACTGATAGGCGACACTGACTGGCACTGTTAGGCGGCACTGCCTGGCACTGATAGGCAGCACTGATGCACACTGATAGGCGACACTGACTGGCACTGATAGGTGGCACTGATTGGCAGCACTGATAGGTGGCACTGATTGGCATTGATAGGTGGCACTGACTGGCACTGATGGGTGACATTGAAAGGAAGCTCAGATGGGCACTGATATGTGGCATTGATGTGCACTGGTATGCACTGATATGTGGCATTGATGTGGCACTGATGGGCACTGGCACGTGGCACTGATGGGCACTGGCACGTGGTACTGATGGGCACTGACAGGTGGCACTTCTGGGGCCACACTGATCATCAGGGCACACTGATCATTGTACATGTCCCCTCTGCGGAAAGCTGATTACCGGCTCTCCTCTCGAGCTGTCAGCGTGACAGCTCAAGAGGAGAGAAATGCCAATAACCGGCATTTCCGTGTTTACATGTGATCAGCTGTGATTGGACACAGCTGATCACATGACCGAGCCAACATCTTCGGCTCTTTCCGTGATCCGCTGTGTCCGAAGGGACACAGCACACCAGCGATAGCCGCGCTGCGCACTCCCTGAGCTGCACATGCGCAGTGAGAATGGTAAGACGTCATATGACGTCCTATCAGAACGAGAGAACCACCTTGCGCCCATCATTGTACTATAGGGCGGGCGGAAGGTGGGTAAAACCTACCTAAGGTTCAGCTTTAAGGCAGTTTAGGTGGCAAGTGCACTTGTTAATGGCACTTCAGATCACAGACATGGTGTACAGAGATGATCCAAGTGGCTCTGTACCTTGTGATCCGAGCAGCTCTGTATCTTGTGCTCACTGAACTCAGTGATCGCAAATGTAGACATACTAGTGTTTATATTAGAGAGCCCTCCCCTTACTCTTACAGTGGAGGATATGACAGAAAGAGAAACTAATGAACAAATGATTCATTCATTCATTACTAGAAGATCATTTCAGCAGCAGGTTTTCAAAATATTAATTTGATGGGATTGTTTTTAACCCTTTCATAACCCCCTTCTCCAGTAAATCTCAGCTCCATCCTATTTCTGCAATGAGTGTACAGTATATTAACCTCTTCATCTCCATTATCCTGAACATCAACCTCCTCATCTACTATATCATCCCACTGTATGTGACCTGTACATTAACCCCTTCGCCTCTTCCCTTTGTGTATGACATGTACATTTATTGATACCCTGTATTTAGTGTACCATGTTTTAATCACCTAAATGCCATGTTTTAATCACCAAATTGTGATAAAAAAAATTAGATTACTATGGGGTATCCAAAATTGGGTCATTTGAGGGGTTTTCATGCAGTCCACTTATTTTTAATTGATATGCTTTTTAACAGAGAGTAAAACTTTTTTTTTTTACGTTTTGCCATTTTTTTTTCTCTTATATGGTAAAAAGTAATCAATCCAGTGGTTATTAAATGCCATCAAAATAAATCAGTTTTTTAATGAAAATGAGATAAAATTAATTTGGCTACAGTGTTGCTTGATCAAATAATAGTCAGTTAAACTAACATTGGAAACTTAAAAATGGCCTAGTAATGAAGAGATATTACAAGCTGGTACCCAAATGGTTAACCATGGGAGTTATTCATAAAAAGAATTGGTGGACCTTATTTCATATCAGCCTATGTACAACGTGGGAATAGGAACTGCTACAGAACTCTTCTTAGACCCTTCCATCCACATCTACCAAGTATAGCTAACACTTATAATACTTTAACTCAGAGTCTACTTTTCTTCTTACCTCACCACAGGTGGTGAATAGAGCCTTTGTCATGAAAGGTACAGCATAGAGGTGCATTGTACCTGAATGTAGAATTACAAGCACTACCATGTTTGAAAGGAGCAGGTCACTCATTTTTGGCTGGTAGCTTATGGTTGGTCTGCTCTTGATGCAAGATAAGGTACATATTCTGCTAGTGGGGTAGGTTTGGTGTGAAGGGTTATCTTGCAGCTTAGTTTAGCTTAGTATTAGGTTCATGGTTTTAGGGGGTTAAGTATAAGTGTTGGGTTTAAGGTAAGGGTCTAGAAAGTTGCATGAAAATGCAAGGTCTGTAAATACTGGGCCCCCAACCGTTGAATAAAGAACTATTGATTAAAAGAGGTTTTATGCAATAGGCAAGCCACAATGTTAAGTTGAATGGCAGGGCTCAGCAAGCTTAGCGACCTTGGGCAAGCAGTTACTGTATGCCATTGTGATTCATTGACAGCAAAGGGACCATTGAATCTTCTCGCTGTTTCCTTCTTTCGGAACTCTGAATCCTTTGTTTCACCTAATTTATGTCCTTTGCTTTAAGTCTTCAACTAATTACTCTTCTTTGCAACACAACCATGTTGTCAACTGGCTTGTCAAAACTTTAAAATCAGCTGAAAATGTTCTGTCCTCTCACTGCAACATAAAAGGCTTTTAACGCATTGGGTTTAGTCTTTAATTTTTATGTAGGTCTTACATTAATAACAATGGGAGATGAGATTTCTGCCTGTGGCCATCTAGATTGTGGCACTTTGATAGTCAGTGAGGCTTTTTAACCCAGCTTAGGCGATAATAAGCTCCAGCAAACCTGCAAAGCAAGGGTTTTCTCTTTTCTAGGCTGAAAATTCATTGTGAGCAATGACAGGCTGTCCTATGCTAATGTTTTGTGTTTATCACTTGCAAGGGTGCGCCTATAATACCCAATTACTGCAAGCAATGCACAAAAATAATGAGTCACTTGCAAAAAATTGGCCAATTATGGGCACACATGCAGTAAACATTTAAATGTTTACTGCAAATGTATTAACCATTAACAAACCGCTAACGTAGCAGATGCATTAAGTGTGTGTTCACTAAGGGCTAACTGGAAGATTGGATATGTTAACACTAGCAGGTCTGATTACTACATGACAAAACCTACTAACCACAAATGGGGGAAAAACCCCAGATAATGACACTTACAAAACATTAGTGGTCTGTTAACACTTAATGTAAACATCAATCTGTGTTTTTATTGCTCTAAGTCATTTTTGATAAAGCTTTCGAATTTGTAGTAGGCTGCACTTCCATTTTTTTTATATATTTTGCTAACTATAGAGATTGTAGATTAGCCACATATCTAAACCCAAGAAAAAAAATATTTTGCCTCTTTCCAGTCCTTAGATGTGATGGCTGCATTATATTCTGTTTTCAGGTTTCCTTTTTTTTAACCTGGTAATTCCGCCAGTAGAACACATGTTGTCCTAGGGTGACAACGCTTATTCACATCCATGCAGTAGCCATGAGGGGGCAGTCTTGTCACCATAGGAGAAGACTACCAAACACCACCCTTCTTTTCTATAATATACGGGTAGTTATTTGTAGTCCGCATAGATAACTGTGAGCAGTGCTATCTGATAAGTGTGCAGCACAGACAGAGAGCACAGAAAGTTACCAGATGTCTGTCAGGATCAACAGGATTATTATGCAGTTATGGAACAAATATAACAAATTACTTTCAATGGTATATTTAACAGACCAAATGGGAGCAAATAAGAGAGGTTTGTTGGTAGGGATTACATATACTTTATATACATATACTTATAGCAAAATTCTGAATCACTACTGACAAGGGGAGGAGGGTAAGTTGACCTAAAAAAGTCAGCCATACATGTATTGAAATTTGTCTGGTTCAGTAGGGACTGGCCAAGATTTAATCCTTGTACGGGCAGGCTTATAATACCCAAGTCAGTCAGTCCATCGATCGACTTGGGTACTTGGGTTTTGACAGCTAGGAGGACTCCCTGCACTCCCCCACCCCCATTCCCCCCAGCAGAATGCAATACCACTGTGGAAGACATTCCTTCATCACCACTGCCTATGGCAATGGGGGAAATCAAGCAATCTGGTTTCCTTCCAGAAAAGAAAAGAAAATAATCTATGGGCTGCCTAAGTCAATGCTGGGAGGGGGGAGCAGGGTGAGGTGTGCTGCTGAGCCACAAATGGGATCGGGTAGCAGGGGGAGCTGGGCTGTGGAGAGAATCATTTGGGTCCCATTTACACCAGCAAGCCGTGATAATAGCATGGTCACTGGTGTGTACTGGGAGACATTGTTGATGCACCAATCTCTTTTTTTTTCACAGAACCTTTATTGAATTGAGTGACATTTCAATAGAGTTCTACGTGGTTTGTGTCACAATCAGCTGTACTTTCAGTGCACACCATAGTAACACTGTGGTGTGAACCAACACAAATGGAAACCAGGCATTTTGCCTTGTCTATGCTTTGAGGCTGCACTGGAAGTGGCTGTCAGTGTAGCCACAATGCATCTAATGTGAATGGCCCTTAAACAACTGTGGTGTTTCTGCTGCAAATTGTAGGTTGAATTCTTCCAAAGTGTCTTCTACAGAGGTCAGTGACAGCTTGTTATAAGGCTAATTAAGGCTTCCTACAAAATATGCAAATATTTGAATATCCAGAGCCTGGCCATGTGTACTTATTCTTATCAATGTATTATTTTTTTAAAAACCTTGCTTTTGCATATATCGTAGTCTATAATAACATATGTCTGCATTGTACATAATTTATGCAAGATAAAATTACAATTCAAAAATAAAATCCTTCCACCAAGTTTTTCCCTAATTCAAACTCAAACTTTTTAACTTTGAAAAATGACAATGTGAGTTATAATTCTGACAGGCTGTCACTTTTGAGCAACATATGCTGTTCTTTCTTCTTTTAATTGTACATTGTTTTCTCCTGAGATACTCTGCATTACAAAAGATGAATAGAACAGATCACTTTTTAAAGGAGACCTGTCACCACCAGGGCATTGAGTGACTGACTTAGTGAAATATATTGGGTTTTCTAAATACATTACGCCAAGTGGGTTAGCGGAGATACTCTGTCCAGAATGGTATTGACATATTCAGTCACTAGTGGTAACTCTTATTGTAAGCAGAGCTGCTCATCCAACCCTTAGCTAAGTATGGTAGATATCTAAAAATATATCACAAGAGGGAAGGCGCTAAGGGTGAACTTCAGGGACCATTTGATATCACATACAGTGTATGGTATTGTTCACTTTGTCATATGATTGTCTTAACATACACAGTATGGGGGAGATTTCTTAAACCTGGAGCACCCAGAATTAGGGGTGCACCAAAATGAAGATTCTGGTGTCGGAACCAAGTATGCAATAGGCCGGGTGGGAAGAAGTTAAAAGGTGTCAGGTGTGCAGGCTCTGCATGGCATGGGTGTCAGGTGCACAGGTGACACCAATCCCATGTATAGCCTGCACACCTGAAACCCATCCCATACACAGACTTCGCACCTGTCACCCATCCCATGCACAACCTGTGCACTCGAAACCCATCTCATGCACAGCCTGCGCACCTGACACCCATCCCATACACAGACTTTGCACTTGACACCCATCCCATTCACAGCCTGCATACCTGACACCCATCCCATGCACAACCTGTGCACCCGACACCCATCTCATGCAC